GCAGCAGCAGCAGCAGCAGCAGCAGCAGCAGCGAGCGTGCAGCATGGAGCATCATGCTGCTGCTGCAGCCACGACGCAGGGCGGGCGCTCGCTCACCCGCGCGTGTGATGTGTGAGTATTGCGCGGCGGGTGATGATGATGGTCAGTGCGCGTCGTGCACCACCCACCGCACCACCTCACAGTCGACTTTGAGCTGGCTACTCGCAGACGCACGCACGCACGCACGCACGCACATGATGGTATGCCTATGACCCGCCCTCAAGAAGAAAACAAGTCGCGCTGTTTGCGTAGCATGACAAGCTCGAACAGGTGGACGTGTCTTTTGCACACTTGACGCTGCTGCATGCGCATTCATTCACATTCGTGAGGAGTGCATGAGAGCCTGGGTGCGCGGCGCGGGTGCAGCGCGGGTGCAGCGCGGGTGCAGCGCGTCACGACGCTCGAGTTCAAGGTACAAATGTCCAGCACCGTCGTCGGTCGGCATCGCATCCCATGCGAGGGGCTTTGAAAGTCTTGCTCTTCTTGCAAGGGAAATTCGAGCGGTTGAGCGCTTGATGCCAAGTCGTGTTTAGTCGTGAGTCGAGAGTAGTAACATCGCACGCGCAGCGATCAACGAAGAGATCACGGCGCGCGCGCGCTCCGAGTTGAGCTGTGCATGACCATTCGTCACAGCGGCCATGGACCGACTCAAGACTGACATTGCGAGCAAACACGCCATGCCATGCCATGCAGCTAGCTCCTCTCTCTCCCGCGCTCCTCTGCACACACACACGCGCGCGCTCACAACAACGACGTGTGGCACTTCATTTACATTTGCGCGTGCCAGAGAAACATCCTGCACGACCGCTCGCACGCCTCTCACTTCCAACTGGCAGAAACGAGTTTGGAAACGGTGGAAATGGCCCTGAAGCGAACGTCGGAATCGGAGTGTTGAATCAATTCCAAGCACCTCGCTTTCGCTCCCAGCTTGTCCAATTTCCTAGTCAAGTATAGGCAGGCAGGCGCACGCCAGGTCAGCTCTCTCGCGCGCGCACACACGCGCACACGCACACGCACACCCTCGAACTCACTTTTTGGCGCTGTCGACGACGCTCACGATGCGTCCCAGGTCCGATGCAGCGACGGCCAAGCTCGCATGATCGCTCTCTTCGCTTTTCAATATGCCCACCAGGGATTTCAAAATCTGACCATCGTCATCACCCACAATCTTTGCCGCATTCTCCTTCCAAAACTCGTCCAAAGAGTGCATCG